CTCTCCAAGCAAGGCTTCTTCCGCTACCTTCATTGAGCTGAAGAAAGCCCGCAACGATATTTGGGTCATTTGGAACAGCATAGTTAGAGTTAGTCGTAGACAACTTTCAGAAGACCGCCTTTACTCTGACTTCTTTGCAAGAACCTTTGAGTTCATTAACCCGGTGTGGTTTATACAGCCAAAAAGTAATCTTCATTTTCAAATTAGCAAAAATCTGAAGCTGTTAAACATTTTGTTATTAGCAGTATTCTTCTCTCTGCTGCCATTCCTTCTTCCGTTTCAATCCGATTTCGCTTAGTTTAAGCTCATGCTCAGTCACAGTAGCTTGCCTTAGGAGAGTTGGTTGTAGGTCTTCCTCTTTCGAAAGTGCTGTCGGGACCATAACGAGATGGTCCTTCACGCCCCCATCTCTCAGACTGTAGTAGTAGGACGGGCATAAATCTTTGAGCGGTTAAACTAGCCACGCGAGGACCTCCCAGAAATATGTAAAGGCTCTCCGTCTACTGTACGAGAGGAGGCAGTCCTGCCATTGGGGCTTCTTTCGTCGGCGTGCTTCTCTGTTCTCGCTGTAAGACGAGCGCGTTGATTGGAACGGTCCGAGCAGACTCGCTCCGCCCATACGACGAGGATGGAACATGTGGAACACCACGAAAGCTGTCTCCAGGGTTTCTTACTCTAATAAATGTCTGATTCTACCATTTTTTACGCTGTAATATTCTATTCTATCAGATTTTATCATACTTGGTGAATAGTTTATGCCACGAGACTTGCATAGGGTGCTGCGCTATCAATTTCATATTCTAACCTGCATATGCATGAGCCGTAGTCGTTCGGCTTCCGCGACGAATGGCGACTTCTCCTCTTCGGTGAGTTGTCTCCAGCGAGAACCGAGCTGTAAAGTATCATTCCTCAGTTGGTAATTCATGAAATTACGCCTCCAGAGCCTCATCTTCATAAAACTAGGAGGCGCTTTGAATTTTGCCGATGTTCTAACACTTCAGAAGCTTCAGAGATTGTAAACGCGGCCAAGAAAAAAACAACAACAAAGACGACATTCTTCGTCGTCATTGTGAGATGATTGTCTAGACGTCATGAAGACTGTCATCATTCGCCGTCTGATTCGTTTTTGCTCATCTCGGAAATTACTACGAAATATTACGCCTTACGGGAGCGGTTTCTCGTCGTAGTTCGTTATGAAGGCCTAGTGGCCTGTCAAACAAAACGAAAAAGCACAGTTGGCAAACACTGTGATGCTTTCTTACATGATAAATAAAAAACCAATGACATATAAAAAAGCGTGCAATATTCTGGAGAAGACCTAAAGTCACATTCAGCAAAAGTGGGGTGCGGGTCGAAGAGAACGAAAAGGAAACTGTGGGTGAACCGCAGGTGAAAATACACGGAAAAATTGGTGGGAGATACCCGCTGACTTGAAATAGCTGATGATTTCAAGTTTGGTACGAGCTTTAACCACAGTTTCTGTGATCACTAATGCCGATTACTGCTCGTTAAGCAGTCGAGTCAGGATGATTGTCTGAGGAAGATTCTTCTCTCGGAGTCTCAGTGGCTACCTCTCTTCACTTTCCACATTGGCCGACCCCTCAAAAGGTCGAGGAAAGGGGGATGGGGGAAATTGATCAGACACCGCCACTAGCAATGAACCGCGATTGCGCCTCATATGAGGTAGATAAATCGACTCCAAAAATTTCATCAGCCCACGAAGCAGAAGGGCTGATTTCGAGACGACCACATGCGACCCTAGATGAAAAATCTCCTGGTTGATCGCGAACAGATGTAATCAGTTATAGGACCGCAGCCATCTACAAAGTCTTTGATAAGTCAATTACCCATGAGACACAGCCTTTACAGTGGATACCATATAAAGAATACGAGTAATTAACCTGCCTGTTATCCCCTTGCTACAGAAAACACGCCCGTTGGGGGCGTGGTTACCAGCTGAAGATGGGAACTCAGCGTACTGAACCTGACCTGCGTATAACGCCAACAAACTGTCACTAAATGTGTTTTTGCGATCGTCCGAGCACCTTAGCACCTCCCCAATAGATAGGAAAGCTAGTCATTGAAAAAATCTCCTCAACTGAAGATTAAAGGCAAGGCTAACCGCGAGGGCGGAGTTAGTGTACCATTCTGCCTTTCTCATTTTTGCGCTCCTCCTTTCCTGGAATCTGCGGTAAGGAGAATGAGCCAATGAGGAGAGCGCAAAGCCAGGTTTGACCCCACCCATAATATATGCTTGGATTCCGTGATGGCATCAACCTGTTATCGTCTCAACCTTATGAAATTATCAATGTTTCTGCTATAACAGGAAACCGTGACGCCAACTTACCAATTTGCAAAGTTTTTCTTACCTGTTTGCTAATTTCGGCGTTGTGCATGTCGGGTTGATGTTCGCAAATTTTCCGTCGCTCCAATTGCGACCACACCATAAACGCGTTCATCGGTCGTTTGATGTGATTACTGGATTTTTTGCAATTTGTTGCATCGGTATACGGTGTTGCACTCTGTTTCGACACCTGGTACTAAAATACCATTAGTGATTTCTGGGTACGATATGATAGAATACGGTAATGAACAGAAAATCAAATAGGTTGACACTTTCACTTCTTCTCGGCATACATACGACCGTAAAATAGGAAAAAGTATAAAGCTTACATTCTTAGACAGTTCTTTTTTTAGGATGCAGCATGCACTCGTGGGGGTTTATTGAATGCGGTATGGCCTCAACATTCCAAGAGGAGCGGTCGGTCAGGGGAGATCTGCGATTACAGAGGCGCGCGAAATCTGGGTGGTCGCATTGAACACCACAGATCGGGTGGGAATGGTGGCATAAACGCCCGTGGGCATGGTCAAATCATTTCCTGGGTCAACAAAGGTACAAGGGTTCCATACAAGCTTCAGCGGAACATACATA